TACTTAGAATCAATTAAGTGAAACTACGGTGTCCATTCCGACTAGATGTCATCCATTTGCTAGTCTTGGGCTTGAGGATTGATAATTTTAAGTCGATACAACTACAGTAAAACTCGCTTAAAACGCTCCCGCTTAAGACGTTTTCCCGCATAAGACGCTATTTTCCGTCGGTCCCTAGACATTTCCTATACTAGTCAATTTAAAAACCATCTGTTAAGACGCTCGGTTTTTCTCTATCTTATTGGATAAAACGCTCTTTTGTTTAGCAGATTATGATAAATTTTAGTAGGTTTGTCGAAATAAAAATAGACATTTTACTTGTTTACGTGTTCTTATTGTTGAATCGTTTTATTTTATCACTATACATATTTTATCATCAGCTATTATTATTATCCAGTATCTACTCCTGCAATTACTGCTGGGTTGCAACACCTAACAGAAATTCGAAAAGTATTATCCTCTATAGAAAATGTTGAAGAAATGTTGGATTGTCTCAACAAAATAGAAAACTTTCTTGCTGAGACGCATTGTCAGCATCGTAAACAAACAAAAATATATCAATTTTTTTAATAAACAATAATAAAATATTTAATAGTAATTTTTTAAATTAAATTTAGTAGCAAAAAATATATGTACACATGTATGTAATTACTAGAGTCCGGATTTATATGCATTTTTATGTTTGTACTAAGTGTATACACGCCTAAGGAGGTTTAAAATGTCCACGATTCATATTAGACTGAATTTAAACACCAAATTTTATATTGCATATTTTGCATATTTCGAAAGTTATTGAATATTTGTTAATAAGTGCATATAACATGCATATTTAATGGATTTTTAAGAAATTACAATTGTTAACCAGCATCGTAAACAAACAGAAATATATCAATTTTTTAAATAAACAATAGTAAAATATTTAATAATAATTTTTTTTTAATTAAATTCAATAGCAAAAAATATATGTACACATGTATTTAATTACATATACATATATAATTTATTAGTGTCTATTTTGTTAAATCATGTTCAATAATAAAAAAATTAACTTCACATTTCAATCACTTCATTTTTTTCCAATCCCGCATAAGACACTTTCCCGCTTAAAACGTTCTAGAGAGCTGGTCCCTTAAAGAGCGTCTTAAGCGAGTTTTACTGTATTTTATAAATTGTATGTGGTTACCGGTATAATTTAAAATTTATCTATATAAAGATAAAAATAAAACAATAAGTATCTAAATAAAAAAAGATGAAAATTGTTTTAATTTATTTTTATTAGCTATCAGTAGCGGCTCATAGTAAATACGAATATTCTGGAGAGACTTAAATTATTTAACATAAACTCCATACAACAACGAACATGAAAAACCTCTTTATTGGAAAATTAATTATACTTAATACTTAATTTAATATTTAGTTAATATTTTTAACTTAATTTAATGGTAAATTTTTTTGTAAACTAATTCATTCTGCAATTTTTTTATCTGCGAATTCGCAGATGACGGTGTACACATAGACGTGCGCACATGGAGTCCCGAGGGTACTCCGGCAGTCTCGGACTCTTCAACCAAAACGCCAAAAGCCGTATTTATTATTATTAATTAAGTGCAAAATTTTAAATCTTGAAAAATCCAAATATTATAAAACAGTATTAATGTGTTTTTATTTCTTTGAAATATAATAATTTCTATCGAACAGAATAGTGTGTTCCATTACATTATGATTTTAATAGTTATTCAGTGTAGTGATGGGCAACGATATCGATAATTCAATACGATATCGATATCGTGACGCATTTTCGACACCGATATCGTTCTATAGTTGTACGATATATCGCAATATAAAATTTAATAATTTTTCTAAAAATACATTTTATTTTTAAATTTTAAGCTTTAGTAAATTTCATTGTGTGTGCTGTGTAATAAACCATTAACTAATAACTAATAAATAATAATATTTGTCTAATAATATAACTGATAAAGTTTGTACACGTATCCTAGGGAAATGTGAATTATTATATTATTTATATTTAATTTTAAATTTCTATATTATTATTACATTTGATATAGCTTATAATGTTATCTGTATCGATAAACATAATATACTAAATAAAGGTTTAAGATTTTCATGTACCAATAATAAATATCATATACTAAATTTTAGTATATTATTTTACTAAATTTATAAAAATATAATTCGATACGATATCGATATCGAACAAATTCCAATATCGCGATACAATATCGAGAAAATCGGAACGATATCGATACACAAAATTATATCGTTGTCCAACACTAATTAAGTGGTTTGCAGTTAATTGTTGAACTTCCTTGAATATTTTTATGATATTTGAATGTCAATAGTCTATTTTTAACGTCCAATAACAATAAATAATAATAAACAATGATCATTCAACAAAAAAATGGTATAATAGCTATAAGTGGTTAGAACAGAGGTTCCCAAACTTCTTATAGTACGACACATTTTGGAAATTATTTCAATTTTGACCCAATTTTCAATTGACCCAAAATAATATCATTGACCTTTTTTTTTTTTTTTGCTGTTTTCATTATTTTAAATTGAAGAAAAGTATTATATTTATAAAAAAAAATTTATAATATGTAATTTAATTAGTAAGTATGTAATTTTAATGTAAAGGATGTAATTGTTTCCTATTTTTTATAACTGGATTGATATCCACTTTTTTATTTCGATTGCAAAGAACTTGTTGTAAGCTCATCATCAATTAATTTTCTTTTTTTAACCGCTGACTCAGATATTATCTCTGTTTCTTCAGTTTTCGCAGAACTTTGGGTCATTGACTTTTTATTTAACCATTTGTCCATAGTAACTGTACAAAATCACAAAAAAAAACGAATTTATTGGTTATTTGAAAAATAGCAAGATTTAAACTGCGTGCATGTATCGTATTCAATGTACCGTTTGTTACTGAAAATAATCAATTTATTTGAACGTCATACAGGCACCAATTTATTTCAAATATATTGCTATATTTTCAATAATCATTAATCCGATTGCGTTGTGTTGACACAGTTGAGCATAGACATATAAAGAAATATTATTATGTCTATTGGTCGCAGAAAATTTGTAATTGTCAAAAACGCCAATAACAGTTAATAATAAAACGAATTAAATAATTAAACTTTAAACCGTAAGTAATAGATACACATGAAAAATATAACGCGACCCACTAAAAATATAATTGCGACCCCCTTATGGTTTGCGACCCACAGTTTGGGAACCTCTGGGTTAGAGTATAATCCAAGTATAGATGCTACCTTTTGCTTTTATTGTAGATGTTTTAATGGAAATGGGTTACAGTAAAAACTGTACAGTTCCATGATGAAATCTTAAGGTATTGGCTTACTTCACCAACTTCAATATTTTGAATTTCTTTTAGGCTTATGGAATCAATTTTGAAAATTATTTTAAAAATAAGTTCAAGATTTCAGTTTGCTAAACTTGATATATTAAAAACTATTAATTATATTCAAGCCCTTAAAGTTCGTTAATTTTTATAAGAAATTATACATTCTTTTAAAAACATTTTTGAAGAAGTAACTGCTAAATGTATTAATCTAGATATTGGTATTTCAATGGTTATAAGAAAGAAAGCGAATCTGACGTTAAGTGAAAATGAATCTGAAAATGAAAAATTCAGATGTTCCGTATTTAATCTGATATTGGATAATTTTATCTATGTATAAGTATGAGATTTAATTAAGACAGCTTAGATTTAATTAGCGCTATGGAAAATTTATTGAAAATAGAATTAAATAACAGTTTTTCAAATATTTAATCTAAGTTATTCAATATACCAATTGATTAACTGAAACTGAAATTAAAATTCTCAAACACATGTTTGACGTACTAAGTGGTACATTCAGTGAATCTGTGTATGAGTGATAAAACTGAATAAAAGAAAGTGGACAATTAATCGTTTCTTATAATATATATTTGGTATTAAAAATGTTTACCATAATACCAATTACAAGTTCTACATGAAGAGGATATTTTCCAATTTAAGCATTATAAAAAATAAACTCAGATATACTATAGACCAAGATAGACTAGAAAAATCATTAATACTGATATTCACAGAACAAGAATTAGCTTGTAAATTAAATTTTAATGTAACTATTGACGAACTCAAGAACGTTATTGCTTTTAAACGTCGATTAGCATTATAAGAGATTGTATATCTATACGTTGTTATGCAGTGTTTATTGCAACGAATAAAATAAAAATAAATTATTTTTAGTACATTTTACATAAACATTTTCCTGTACCTATAATGGCTTTCGAAATAATAATGTGCCCTAATTTTTAGCGTGCACCCCCGGAATCAAGAGTTAGCCTACGCATGTAAGGCGACTAATGACGGCGCGTTGGCACGGAAATTATTGTCGTGAACCCAGTGTCAATAGCGTCTATAATTCGCGAATTATTCTCCCCGGCCCCTCCGTCCAACAAGCCAAACTATTACATGTTACGATTGAACCTGTCGGACGTCAGTTTCACTGAAACAGCGACCGTCGTCGAAATTACTAAAATAGTGTTTCCGTCGAAATAACTATTTATAGGTTTTATACGAGTATTTTATGATCTTAAATTTATAATAATAAATATAAGAAACGCTATTAATAGAAAATATTTCTATATAATTTTAAATAGTTTTTATTTACAAGTACTTGTTTTTTTTTTTCTAAAGGGAGACGCAGTCTCAAAGTCTCCCCTGACGAGCCACCCCTGTTAACTATACATAAATATAATATAGACATATAAGTACAATTTAAACAAATATATTTAAATGCAACTACTGGCACTAAAGTAAATTATAGGTACCTATTGCATTGTAATAAATAAATTATAGCTTTTAATGGGTTAAATAACATTTAATGTAGATACTTCCTTTAATGTAAATTGAACAATTATCGTGTTATTTGTCATCTAATACTTCGTAATGTTGTATTTCACAGGAGATCAACCGGCAGCGGTGCATGACGGTAATTCGGGTCCTCTAGTTTGTTGCGTGGCTGGCTGGTGGCTGCTAACTTTATGCTGCCTGGTGCTATCAAGCTGATTCTACGGATCGGTACAGTTTGACCGCCGACTGCAGGGAAGATATATTGCCTAACCATCGTCACCCAAGAAAAGAATATTATCGCTGAAAATTGTGTCACCAAGATTACTGATTTCGGCCACTTCCTAAACGGAATTACGACGACGATACACTTAAACAATAACGATCGTTTTTTATATATTTATGAATGCATACGAGCGTCCGTACACGTAATATAAGATTTAACTTCCGAGCAAAAATGTTAATCATGTCGTAAGACAGCAATTATTATTATTATCAACTCTATACATAGAGCCGTGTTAAGAGGGGTCAAAAGGGGCAATTGCCTCTGGACGCCATAGTTTTTAAAAAGTAAGGGGGCGCCTTTATCTGCACTTAATGTAACCTGTGCCTAGTGATCCCGTAGAAAAAATTTTGCCACGGGGCGCTGAAATGTTTGACACGGCTCTGTCTATACATATTTCATAACATCCTTCATTATATTATTATATTTACTCGTGATACGTATGGTGCGTATTTTTAATGCTTGTACCACATGGGTGAAAAAAATTTAGTTATACCGAGTGTAACAAAAAAATCTGATACACCTCATAAGAAAAATTGTAAACGTAATAGAACTATTCCTGTTACATCCTGCATAATGTTACCAAGTAAAATTGTGTATTTTTCAAATTATATTATAGGGTTACATGTTTTTATTATATCAAAGTGAATATCATTTAATTGTATATTCTATATACTCGAGCAAAAAAACATGTCATCGTAAATATTATTTAAAGGAAGGAGTTTGTGGATACCTGGCCCCTTTGCTTTTCACCATTTCTTATGACTCTAATCTATTATATATTTTTTAAACATTCGATGATAAGATGTAAAGTTTCACTTTTGTTTTTAAATTTATAAAACTTACATAACATTTATATATTGAGTTTATTTTACTTACATCTATATTTTATGTGCTCGTACAAAATTGTATTACTTATTTGTAATAACGTAAATACAAGCACAGAAACAATTAATTGCTAGTGCATCATGGTATTATTTTTATTAAGCGTCCATATTTACCGTTTAAAGAATAGAAAAAATGAGAGGCGTTCAAATACGACCCCCCCTCCTGTAAATTGAATATATCGATCACTAATTATCATCAATCAATATAAATACAAATCCTCACTATTCTCTACATAATTTTTTAATTTTTTTTTACTAAATATGACTTTTTATTTATACTCTTTATTTTACTAAATATAATTCAGATATCGTTTTATGCACTTCTGATAATCTCTCAACAGTGTTTATTAGCCGAAAATAATTACCAAAAAAACTGTATAAAACTGTGTATACTGACATATTTCTTACACATAAAGATAATCTTAAGACAATTAATTTTTTTTTCCCAATTTTTTTAACGATGCTATTTTAATCAAAGGTATAAATACTAAATATACTAAATAATAAAAGTTGCTAGTCCATACTCGATAATCCCAAAGATTCCCATTTCAAATTTTGATATTGGTACTCTATTAATAATATTAATTGAATGTATAAAATATCGAAATACAATAATATAATTTCTCAATCTTTTAGAAAGATTTTTTTTAAAGTAATGTAACACTCAAGTCTCTCCGATTTCTTTCTCGCTAATCACATCTTTAATTAAATCCATATTCAATCATACTACGAGAAAATGAACAATGTCATTATAGCCACTATAGTAAGATATTTTCCGATAAAAATCACAAATAAATAGCTGCTTATAATAACAAAATAATAATAATAAATTATTTTGTTTATTTTTGTAAAGAAATACACTTATTGTGAAATGGGTGAATTTGAATTTAATACACGTATAAGTAAGTACTTACAGATAAACGTATAAAATACTAAAATTCATTACGTCCATCGATAGTCCGAATACTTCAATATAATTGAAAAATTTAGGACATTTGCTTAAATGGAAAAACTCACATGTGCTTATTAGATCACATTAACAAACATTGATAGCCTCATATATTAATCTCTGTCTCTCTTTTCATATAAACGCTAAAATTTCGTGGGTTTTATTCCAAAGACCCTTATTAAATATATATATATATATGTAACGGATAATGTTACTATTTGGCTAATGTCGACATTGTTCATACATGTTGTCTAATGCGTAATATTTCGTGAATGAACAAGAAATATCAACTATCTGGATAATGTTAAAAAAATTAATAAGAATTTTCATTTGCATTCTGTATACTATGGTGTTAAAATAATAAAGCGTCAGAATATCAAAGTAAAATAAATAATCTTATCGTAACTTATAATTTATTTTAATGATAAAATGAATAATAATTTTGTCTAGTATTCTATATATATCGTATATATTCTATATAGCTAGGTATAGTGTCTTAATTGAACGATGTTTTTGTTATTATTATATATGCTAGACAAGTACAATACACGATCCCAATCTGTAGTTGGTCTGTTTTCACACATGATATTCATGAGTGTGATGTTTATTGTTTTTTAATTTTTTTTTATTTAATTAAAATGGAAACAAAAACAAAATTTTATTATCTATTTGAAGAATTATTTTCTGAAAAACGAGAAGATAATTTATTTTATTTATCAAATGAAAAATATTTAAATATAATTTATTAATTTAAAGATAGCAAGAAATCTCGTTGTTGAGTAAATTTAACTAAATTTAAAATCATTAATATCGGAAGGGAATAGAAACTTATACTACCCATCGATAAATATAGTACAAGGCATTGATATTGGTCATGGTGGTAAGCATCGAATTATGGCAAAAAAAAAATAAAAGTACAATTTGACTTAAAAAGTTGTACTTATGTTCTTAAAATTCAGTGGACAATTCTAATTGTGTTTTACTCTATATATTTTTTTTTTAATTAATATTTTAATATATAAAAATTACAAATTAGCTAACATGTATAAATAATGTCTACATTAGTAAAATTTTAACATCACCCGTAGCATATATACATACATTCTTCTTATGCTTAAAATCTTAAACATTTTGATCCGTCTCGTCATTTTTACTATTATAATTATTATGAGCATGTATGAAATTCTTAAACAGTATGAATATTCGCATTATTTTAATTAATTTAACTATTGTACGTATTGTACGCAGGGTTTTTAACAGTTTATATAAGAAATAAATAAAAGTTTATAAGAAATAGGTAGCTACAAAAAAATATAAATCACAAAGTACTAACCAACTGCCACGTTAATATAATAACTGTAATTCGCAACTCAGCTGTTTTGGATAAAATGTATATTATAGGTACCTATATACATTATATTTCTTAACTACCTTATACGTACTAATCATTCCAATAATAATCCGTCATATAATCTTATCTATAATTAATTTAATTTTTCATAAAACCTCTACGAAATTATAAAATATATGATTGTGTTGAATAAATTCGCCAATAATAAAAACGATCAACATTTTTAAATATCTTAAGTCCTATATCTATATCGGTTATTATAATAATATATTACAAATATATTTTGAATAATATTTATTTCAAAACACAAATTTATATATTTTATGAATGAATAAAGTAAATAATATCTAGTCTTGTGTTGTTTAGGTACCTAAATATAACAATTATACATTTATACACACATATATATATTTTTTTTTAAACTGTAGTTTTATTATGAAATAATTTGATATGTACGTATCAAATTATAAATTAAACTACCGTGTAGGGATACTTATCATTATATTTTGTTTTTCTTCTTCCAATAAATGTTGTAAAATTGAATGTTAATGAACTTGGTTGTTTCTCTTGTGTATAAAAAAAATGAGAATAGTTGGTTAACTTAGTAGAATAACGATTTTATAGGTACGTTGAAGGAGACTATATCTTCTCTAAAGAGTACTGTTTATATAAAAAAAAAAAACTTAAATATAATATTATTATAATTTATAACATACACAGTGTAAATAAACTAATTGTTTTTTTTTGTATTTGTAAAGTTGTTGTTATCTTCCAAACTTTTTTTTACCTAAAAATTAATAAAATTTAAATTGTAAGAAAAATTCCAGTTGTTGTAATATAATATTAATATTTACTTTTTGAAATAAAAGTAAAAGTTTATTGTAAAATATAATTGTTGTTTAAGTAAACAAAAATATATGTATGATTATAATTTATTGCACGTTTTACTTGATCAATACTTGATAAATTGATATAATAAAATTGTCATTAAAGTATTGAATACTGAGCTTGTCCATATTATTTCCAGAGATGCGCCAGACGCAAATGTCTGTTTTGATTATAAACGAAGTAAGAAATGAAATTGGTTTCAAAATGATACCCGACAGAGCCAATTTACTTTTTATTACAGGAAACGACAATGGTGCTCTCAAAAATGCCATTTAGACCTCGTTATCAATTCGAAATAATATCTAATCGATAATTTTGAAACGTAATTTTCTCAATATCTTAATACCGTTTAAAAAATATACCTAAAAATTAGAAAAACATATAATACTTTTATTCCTATAGATTAATAATTTATACTGAACATTTTGAGCACACCATAATTATAACCTACATAATCAACTAAAAATACATAATTTAAATGCCCGAACGAAAAATTTTATTTTCAAAATAAAAATGTCTACTGGCATACTTATGACTTACCTAATACAAGATGTACTTCAAGTTACTAAATCAGTGTCGATTATTCGAAAGCTATAAATATATGATACAAACACAAGAGTTAGTTACATTAAAAATAATAAATTTATAATGGAAGAATTTAAAGGTACCTACATCATAATGCATATAATGAATTTGTATGTAGATACGTATTAAATTCACATTATAAAATGTTGGTGTACTTATATTTTAAAATACCACAAATATTCCATCTACAAAAACATTTAAATGCGAATTGATGTTATTCAAAATTCCTTAGTATAAGTTCTTCTAATACCTACCAAATTCCTATAATGATCACTAAACAGTATTTATTAAAAATATAATACTTACAAGCTACCTCGTCATAAATGTCGATTAAACTTAAATTATTTTCAATTCTTCGTCATATAATTTATCAATATACTTCATTATGAGTTAGCTTCATACCAATTTACCATTAGTTGGTACAATGAACACGCGTATGATCTAAAATATAATATAAAATATAATACACAACGGTTTACGAGGTTTTGTTTTTATAATCATCTGTATACAAGGCAGCAACGACCTGACTTTGATGAACAACGAAGGAGCGTCTAGATATCGCTGGGTGTTCCGACCGTTATCGGAGGCTTGGTAGACATGCACGATTTTTGGCATTCTTAATTTGAATAGACCAATACTGAATAGTACCAAGGGTAAATTCAACATATTTTTACGGTCGGGACACTTAAAAAGAAAAATGGTATAATGGGTGATCATAGGCGTAGGGTTGTTTTCAGGAAACAGAACGCCTCCCACAAAAAAATGTGACAATATTGTATTAAAACTATCAACATTTTTACAATATATTATTAAGTTCTTCTGAATATACTTTATTTTTAATATTATTTTTTTTCAACAGGTGTAGCAATTGCCCAGTGTCCCCCTCTTAAATCCGTCCATGCCTATACCAATGTTTGGATTAAATCTTAAAATATTTAAGAAGTGTATATTTTTAGCACGTGAATAGACCATTATTTGAGTAAATTACATGCTTCAGTATGTTAATATATTAAGGTAAATAATAATTAATAGTAATAATAGTTAAAGAAGTCTATACATTTTAAGAAATTTATACAAATTTAATAATCCTAAGATAAATATCTTCATATGAACCTTGATATAGTTTTTAAATATTCATACTGTAAACACAAAACCAGGTATAAACAATATCAAAAACCAAATTAATATAAGAACACAAATATTTATAGTCATAGTGGTCAAAAATACCATTGTATTCAAAGCTTAAAAAAATTTTTGACATTAAAATCAATATTTAATCATATTTTTTATTTAAAGTTATATTTTCATTTAAATTTTCAGTAAACCATTTTCAAACATTTATGTTTATGTTTATAATTTGTTAAAATTTAAAAAATCAATTTCGTTTTTGACATATCAAACACAAACTAAGATATGAACTAGTAAACACAATGGCTACTACATTAGTAAAATTAAATTAATCTTAAGAAATAATTTAAATAATGCATAAAACTGAATTATTTATTATTAAAAAATAGTATATATATATATATATATGTATATATATTTCAAAAATACTAAAAAAAAGAATTTAACTTATTGTTAGAAAATACTGACTTTCATTTAAAAATATTTTATTGTATTTTAATGGATAAATTATTTCCTAATTAAATACATTATTTTCATTACATAGTTTAGTGTATTATTAATCCTTCATTTTAAATTATTTTTCCAAAAATTGTCCTCAGTATGCAAAATATTAAATTAAATTATTACAATAAAACAATATTTATAATAAATAAAAATCTTAGCTTTAAGGTATTTATTAATCTACTATTCAATACAATTACTTTGCTCTTTTGATTAATGTCATACATTTGAAGGTACTTTCTAGAATTTCCACATACCTTTCTAACTTCAGTTTAAATATTAATTATTAAAATTAGATCTATTTCATTATTTAACTCTCTGTTATTTGATTTGTTTCAATTTAAAAAGTTCCTGATTCCAATGTTGGTTTAATAATTTGCTTAATATGCTAGAATAAAATACAAAATATTCATATGGAGCTCAACAACTCTAATAGATTGATGTTCACATCAATTGTATTGAGTTATTAAATAACAAGTGATAAATTAAATGTAATTAAATATAGCCAGCATTATAAAAATATTAATAAATTTAGTTTGTTCATTAATTAAAACCAAATATTCTAAATGTTATGTAATTTCATATACAACCATTGACATGAAATACTCCTCAGTAAACTTATACTATAAATAACTGATATAAAAAAAATTTAATTGATTAAAAAGTTTTTATTTTTCCAAACTTTTTTATCAGTAAAATGAATTCACATATATTATAAGAAAATATCTGGTAGTTGTCAATTACAATAATTAAGAATCTAAGTAAGACTAATTTGAGTTGTAATATTGTAGTTTAACTTATAACATAGATTAATATATTTAAAAAAATGTTTTGAACATACTGAGTAAACCTATTAACTTAAAATAAAATTAGTATCTACGATCTCGACGTCCGCCGCCGCCACCACCACCACCGCTGCCACCACCACCACGATGATGGCCATGTCGAGGAGAAGGTGATCTTGTTCTACGAGTTCCAACATGATCACGTGAACGACTACGGGAACGATGTCTACGTGAACGACGACTATATAAATATTTACGTAGTTCTCGTGATATTGGTTTCAAGTGCATAAAATTACAAAATCCACTTCTTGTACACTCTCTGTAATTATTTTCATAATAAAATGTTATTGTATATAGTGTGATTAACTATAATCCTTACCCCATTTCATACTGACGACAACAGGCCTCACGAAAATCTGTTACAGGGCTCAACTCAGCATAAACTGGACGACCACCAAACCACCGGTTATTTAAATCATTAACAGCTGCCTCTGCATGCTCTTCTCTACGAAACTGTATAAACAAATAAAAATTAAAAATATAGTATATAATTTAAAACATACATTAAGTTTACATTAAGCCATAATCTGTAACAAATTATTATAAATTAATTAGTATATAATTGAACATAAATAAACATTTTAAAATTATACCTTAATATAAACATTTCCAACAAGATGATCTCCTAAATTGTCACAAACATTCATTTCTTCAATTTCTCCGTACTGTATAAAAAAATGTTATATATTATACAAGTTAAAATTATTTGATTATAGATTAAACAATTATTAAACAACAAATAAATGTCTTAAATTAATAAAATATCTTCAAAATATACATTAATACATTAAATCCACTGCTTATATAATATAATATAATATAATATAATATATACTTTACAGAATAATATACTAAGTTAATTAATAAAACATTTTTACCTTATCTTCACATTCCACAAAAACATCTTCAAAGAAATTATCATAATGTTCTTGCATCTCTTCATCAGTTACATTCGAGACCACTAAAATATAGATAATGATATTATTTAATTAAACTAATTACGATTTAAGATATTCATTTAATAATAATGAAATTATACTCAATATAAAGTAGTGCTTAATAATCATTTCTATTTAAAAATTATTTCTACATCTTGTAATATAAATTTTTTTTTTTTTTTTTTGATTTTTAACACAACCAATAAATTTGATACTTAGTAAATAATAACAAAAAATTTTAAATAATTCAATATAATCAATAGTTAAAAGTATTGGTTAAAGTGCACAAATAACTTTTTTTTAATAAAATATTTATAAGTATGAATAAAATAACAAAAATTTTCTTATTTCTTTTAATTCTAAATATGCTATTATTAATTTTAAAACCCTAACTAAAGAAAATGAAAATAAGTAAAAAATTAGTTATTTTTACAAAATATAATTTTAAAGGTATTTAGTATTTCTCATTATATTAACTCTAATATTAATATTTTTTAAAATCAATGCATAATATCTATCAAATATCTTGAAGGAATAGTAAAACATTATTTGTTTACACTGATCAAAGCCCATACTGATGCAAACCTCCATATCCATTCCTATAACAGACAACCTGAATTTTTTTTATAAATAGAATTAATTTTATATTCTTAATTTAAATTTAGAAAAAATGTAATCAGAAAAAAACCAATCTAAATATTAAAAGCCACTGATGAGTTGTAGTCTTCAAGTTTGTACTCATTCAAGATATTTGACGACTGTAAACATAAAAGTAAACAATTAAACCTAATAAGTATCTGAAGCTAGATGAATTAACTTTTTATTGATTATAAAATTATTCTAAAAAAATAACCTTATAAACATAAAATCTTACAGTTATTTTTCAATTTATTTTAATCAGTTGAGTTATTTATACACTTTAAAGTAAAAATAATAATTTTTCATACATTTTAAAATATACATTATTAATTAGATAAATTATCAAAATATTTTAAGAGTTCTCATATTAAAAAAAATATATATTTACTTATACATCTATACAGTATTAAGTTTAATAAAATTGTATTAACTTTATAACCAAAATACTTAGAAAAATAAGGGCTAGCTAAATTTAGTCTCAAAAATAAAGATTCAATTACAAAAATTATTTTTGCTGCTATTTAATAAATATAAAAAGCTTAGTAAATACTTTATTTTTTAACTATATATTATATTTTATTTATTTCATTCAAAACTGTCTATCTAAAATATTTATTGTTACCATAACCTATTCATTTTTTTGTAGATAATTTTATCACCAATATCTTTTTTGAAACAAAAATTTATAAATTAAAAAATATATTAATATTAGGTTATTGATTAATATAAGAAGTTTAAGTACCTCCTATTGTTATAACAATTTGTAGGTCATTCATTTAACCTACAAATTTACTTGACTTCATAAGTACTAATTAGAGAAAGAATTTATATGCATTGTGCATATTTTTTGATTAGTCCAAAAGATTGATGAGAGAGATAGAAATGTGTTTCACATAATGATGATTAAAAATGCACTACTTTTATTTTGCATATTTTTGCATCTTTGGGTATTTTAATATTTTAATATATTATATGTCATATTATTGCAAATATAACAATTAAATTTTGTTTTTTTACTTTTTTAGAAATCATTAAAAAAAAACATTAAAATTTTTTTATACTGTCCAACCTATTTTTACTTATCAACAAAAATTGCTAATTTATTACTTTTGTTGACTATTATATTTTAAAAGTCTGTGCCGCCTCATACTGATTTTTCATTGACACACCTAATCTACCATGACGTTATACGTATGCACATATTAAGTACATGTACGGATGATGTTTAGATAAGGTATCAAATGGTTAAGTTAAGAATTAAATTAATGAACCCCTGATTTGCTTTTATCGTGCCGCCGCCGCCATACCAATTTATCTGACAACTATACATCTAAATGTTTTTATTGAAATAGTGTTGTATAAAGTGCGAACTGTCAACAAGTGTTATATTTAAAAAATGTAAATTAAAAGTACATATTTAAGCTTTAAATTATTTTTTATTTTTTTACTTTCATAAATTTCTGTACTCATGTATTAAATAAATAATAATTAAGATAAATGTATAAATTTTAAAGCATATTTGAGTTAAAATGCATATTTTATGATTTTATTGAAAATAAATGCATATATCAACATTTTTAAGTAGATATTTTTGAGCATATCTATAACATTTTCAATGCATATTTTAAAAAGCATATTTCAAGTTTTTTTAGGGCATATAATCTGTTCCCTAGTAAAAATAAATAATTTATTGAATTAATATTATATTCTTCACTTTTTTAGATTTAGATTATTTATAACTTACGATGTGATCCATCTGCAGATTTTGCAGAATTTTGTGGGTTGACATAAAGATTTTGCAATAACACAGTCTAAAAAAGAAAATTAATATTAACATACATAATTAAATTGATAACACAGGAGACTTTCATTAGCATAAATATTTAATGTACTTATAGTTAAACTAAAAAATTTACTAAAAGCTAATCAAACTTAGACTTATTACACTTGTTAAGAACATAAATAATTTGAATATCTACTTTATTATAAAGTACATAAAAATTATATCCTATTATAGAACATAAACTACAATGACTGAAAATTATTTAATTTTAAATTAATATCATTTTCCTAAAACTTGAAATGGAAATTTCTGATATCAGTTTTCAAACAATAGTAAGAAGACATACTATTTTTTTATTATTTCCAAAAATATATATTCACATTGATTAAAGTATACAATTTATTTCTGGCAATATTTTAATTTTTTGATTCTCTAAACAGCAAGAAATATATTTTTTAACAACTGCACGTGTTTTTTTTACAAACATAATACATTTTTACTTTAAGATTTTTAAAAACAATAATAATCTAAAACTAAAAATATAATTTAGAAACTCTTTAGGCCAGAAATGTTTTCCAATTTCATTCAAAATTGCTTAAATTTTAAATTTTGTCAAAAGAATATTGAAAATTGTGATAAGGCCTCTTTTAACGATACAAATTCCCATTCTCATTCTACACACATTTATCCAACATATTAAGCCTAAATGTATTAAAATATTTTAAGGATGAACATCTACACTAACAAATGAAATGCTTATTATTTAACTGATCTCCCAAATTTATCAAGATCCACCGATCAATTTCAGCAAAGTCTGGCTTAAATGTTTACATACACCTCGGCAAATTTTTTACTGCCCCTTACGTATAAATACTTCATCAAATATTTTTTTTACATAAGCAAAACTAAAATAAACTTAATTCTGAGTTCATTATATTTATTTATGTAAAATTAACAATTGATTAGATCAATAAATTTGTAGACAAGTAAACCACTACTAATTTAAATCAAACAAAACAATTTATTGTCTTATTTTTTTAAACATTATCTATAGAATAAAAATATTAAATGCTTAACATTATCATGAATATAATCTAGCCTTTAAGTAATATTATAAATACACAAATTTTAATTACATTTTAAACAGAATATACCTGACTGAAAGTTGGCTTATTATGTATTCTTGAACAACGATCACCATGACGGCAAGCACCGATTTTGAAATAAAATGAACAGTTAACCCTGAAGAAAAGAATTATTGAAAAATATACCAACATCAAAAATTTGTAATAAACGTATTCAAACAAATAACTATAATGCTTGTTATAAAAGTTCAACAGTCGTGTGCGATTGTCAAAATAAGCCGGTTTTTAGTACTTACTTGTCTTTTTCAGTACCAAAAATAGACGCCAGATATTCGGCCATATCAATAAGATTATTGAGACACCTATAACAGCTAATTATTAGACAACCGACTGAAAAAATTATTAATCGATTAAGTGAGAAGCGTAAAATTTAAAAATCCCGTACAATTTCGTAGTAAGAAAAAATTACTGATTTGGAATTGTCTACAAGTTTGTTTATACAGAAGTTAGAACCGATGAGAAAAAATATCAACTGATTATCATGGAGTAATAAAAAGTGTATATATCTTCATGGGTTTATTGATGGGGTATAAACTATAGCAACCACGGTTTAAGTTATAGATATATCTTAATTCGTGCTAGCAACAAAATATTGTTATCATTGATAATAAATTTGGATATAAAGATAACTATATTTTATTTTTATAATTAGCATAACGTGCTGACGACCAACAATCAATTTAAGTATAACGATTTTCTAAATCCTTTTTAACGTGTTATGATTGTGAATAATGTATGTACGAATTTAACTACGGAAAAATCATTATTAAAGGATATTTTATTTGTTTTGAGCTCACTACTTAAAATTTACAAAATATTAATGTCAGGTAAACCAAATACATAATTTAATTAATCATATTAGAAAAATAACTTCGAGTCAAGAGCAGCAAAATATTATTTACAAATCGTATGATAAAAATTATAAAAAAATTTGCAGGGAGAGAATATAATAAATATTATAGATTGTCAAATAAGTCACAACAAACATGTCAAAATTCACACAGCCCCACAGTTCCTGAACAATGGATTAAATGCCCTCGTAAATCTTTCACTGCTATAAATAATAAATTTGTGGCATTCAAAACACCATTGGATAGTAAATATGATGAACAAATACCTGCCAGATATAGATTCAACACAGAGATGTTGTTCTCATCATTGGTCAATGAGAAGGTATTACATTAGCTAAGATGAGTGTATTATTAAACTTTCATTTTAAATACCATAAACACTTAAAATTATCTTCATTACTACTATGATACCTGTATCAATACAAGTTTTGGAAAAATGTTTTAAGAATCACTTTCAATAAAAATTTTATCTGTGTTTAAACATGATAAATATTTATTTTGGGTTTCTTTAATAATCCAGTTTTTTATAAGATTTGTAAAAGAAATTTATTGTTTTGGTCTTTTCAGAATCTTAAATTATTTTATTTGTCTTTATTAAAAATATAATAAATATAGATATTTAAATTTAATATAAATAAATAATTACATTTTGATCACAAAATTGTTTAGATCAATTTAGGTCTATGGATTGATTTAACAAATACTTGTCGTTATTACAATGGATTTATTATAAAGGGTTATGTAAAACTCCCATGTAAGGGTCATTACAGTCCACCTACTAAAGAACAAACAAAATTATTTATAAAAATATGTTCAAAATTTGTTGCTAAAAATCCTTTACAATGTATTGGTAAGTTGCAGTAATATTTTTTTATTTTTGTAATGAAATTAAATTTTAAGAATTTAAATTTAATAATTATTTTCTACTTAGGTGTTCATTGTACTCACGGTTTTAATCGAACTGGATTCATGATAATAACTTATTTAATTGAAGAATTACATTTTAATGTTACTAGTGCCATAACTCATTTTGCAGCTGCTAGGTAAAAACAAATATATTTATGTATAAAATAATTAAAACATAAATGTCTTTTAACTAGACCTCCGGGAATATACAAACAAGTTTATATTGATGAATTATATCGACGGTACTCAAAAAATGAAAAACCTATTTTAGCTCCAAAACCTCCAGATTGGTGTAAGGTTAATTAATAATTATTATTTTTTATTTTGTACTCATATAAATTATTCAAAATTGTCATTACCTATATTTTTTATAGTTGTATTAATTAACGAACTAGCAAAATTATTAATGTCATTTTAATTAAAATATATTCAGTAAAATCCATTTAAGACACTTTCCAAGAGACCAGGTAAAAAAAAAAAAGTACTAAAAGAGAAATCCAGAAAATTGTACATTAATCACATACTTTATTTTGTATTAAAAAAATTATCAATTTTGGTTTGTTTTGAATTTTTAGTACTTTTTGAATAGAGGAAATTTTCAATTTTATTAAGGTTTCGTAATGTTTCATCATCAGCATTGTCAAAAGATAAAATTAATCGTCTTAGTTCATGTACATAACCAAGTGCATTTGTTACGGGGAGAATTGGTGTTGTATCATCCTCTTCCTCTATAGTACTGACATCAGCAGATGAAATATTATCAGTAATTATCTAATCAATACTAAGGCTACTTAGCTACTTAAACAACCCATTTTGGAAATTATTTCAATTTTGACAACCCAAAATAATATCGTTGACCTTTTTTTTTTTTTTGCTATTTTTATCATTTTAAATTGAAGAAAAGTATTACATTTATAAAACAAAGTTTATACTATTTTTTTTTTTTTTTTGCTGTTTTTATCATTTTAAATTGAAAAAAAGTATTACATTTATAAAAAAAAAGTTTATGCTATGTAATTTAATTAATAAGTATATAATTTTAATGTGAAGGATGTATTTGTTTCCTATTTTTCATAGTTGGATTGATATCTATTTTTTTATTTTTATTGCAAAGAACTTGTAAGTTCATCATCAATTAATTTTCTCTTTTAACCGCTGACTCAGATATTATCTCTGTTTCTTCAGTTTTTGTAGAACTTTGAGTTATTGACTTTTTATTTAACCATTTGTACATTTTACTTTTACTTAATGTACAAGTACATTTGTACATTTTACTTGTACAGTAACTGTATAAAATCACAAAAAAAAAACGAATTTATTGGTTATTTGAAAAATAGCAAGATTTAAACTGCGTGCATGTATCGTATTCAATGTACCGTTTGTTACTGAAAATAATCAATTTATTTGAACGTCATACAGGCACCAATTTATTTCAAATATATTGCTATATTTTCAATAATCATTAATCCGATTGCGTTGTGTTGACACAGTCGAGCATAGACATATAAAGAAATATTATTATGTCTATTGGTCGCAGAAAATTTGTAATTGTCAAAAACGCCAATAACAGTTAATAATAAAACGAATTAAATAATTAAACTTTAAACCGTAAGTAATAGAAACACATGAAAAATATAACGTGACCCACTAAAAATATAATTGCGACCCTCTTATGGGTCACGACCCACAGTTTGGGAACCTCTCTTCTAGATCTTAAAAATCATTGATTTGATATTGTGATTATTAATTTTATAACACATAACATCATTGACGAAACAATTGCAGTTTAGCTACCGAAAAATTTTTGCAATTTTTTTTTTTTAAACCTTTGTAAGCCAACGTTTTAAAAATGATGGTGCCAAAAAAAATCGGCGCTGACGTTTACTTTTTGAGTTATAATGGTTTGAAATATCCCTCGATTTTTTATACAAAACCATCTCAAGTAGGTAACAGGGACAAAAAAATTATGGAAATGTGAAAATTTAAATTAAAAATATTATTTTGCTTGGGCAGTGATTACTTAAAAGATTCATGTCAATCATTAACAAAGATGGATTTATTGAAAACAATATATGACTGAATGTTATGTGAAACAATGACGTTAATGGAGCCTTATAAAATAAAGGTACCAATTGGATGTCAAATAAGACAAATTCTAGGTCACAAAAAAACAAGAAGTTTCATATCACTTTTGTTACAGTTTTAAATACTTTTGAATTTATTTAAACTAAAGTTTTTTATTTAACAACATAATCATATACTACTCGAAAGTGCATAAAGTGGGTAAATCGTAACAGTAGGATCAATTCACCTTACATAGCAGTTAACCTAGTGGTTCTCAACCGGGGTGATATGAACGCAGTGGCACGAAATTTCCAAGGAAAAAGGAAATAAATAAAAAAATAATTAATTTTAATAAAATCATATTACCACAACTGTCACGTAAATAGCATACCTTTAAACGTGTGTCTTTATTTTATTTAGATCCGATAATACGTGCAGTAATTTGATTTACGAAATCGCTGTATTATCGATTATAATATTGATTTAACCAGGGTTTGCAGTCGCTAGATATACGAGTATATTGTTATAGCTCTACAACTCTAAGAGACTCGATCTTTCCACCATCAGCCCTCGACTTCCTCAAATTTGTAAAAACCACCAGGGCCTAATTTCTCATCAGTTTTCATACAAATCATTATTATTTTTTCTCTTTTTTTTTTTAATTTGCAAATTAAAACTTTTAACTATCAATGTTTATGCAACTCAAATAAATTGTAGCTGTACACATACTTATTATTTTTCTGTGTAATATATTTTTTTTATATCTATCTCAATAAAATGTTTATTTGATATATTTGCTTACGGATTCACGACAATTGGGCGAAGACTATTGAGCGCACGAAACTTGAGCGCTGCGAAAATTAAGCTCTAAGACAATTGAGCGCAATATATTTTTCACTTTCTTTAATAATTTGACTATTCATCAAATTAATACGACCACGACATTTTTTCGTATTGCATTCGATACATCGCCAACTATTGTTTTTGTCAAATCTATATAAATATCCGTTATAGCATAGAAGGTCTCGACCTTTTTGACTTTTAATAATTTCCATTTTATTATCAAAATTATAATTTAAAAAAATTAAAATGTTTTATACAATTAAATGAATAGTGTTCAGTATGCACGTGTGAAAATATAACATCAATAAATACCTTGCAAAGTTCACATGTCTCGGCGAACAGTCGTCACGAGCGCATGTTTAGTCACCGCTCTGTTAATGTTCGCTCGTTTTTTTATCTTTCGATTTCATGTATATATTCAAACCATATACCAAAATGTCGAGTTAAGTGTCGCGCTTACACGTGTCTACTTTTTGAAACTCTACGCGACGGATCCTTCTTCAAAACCACTGGTAAACCAAAATTTTTAACGAGCTAGTAAGTATACACACCATATACTAATATAGTTCGCCTTATATAATCAACGCGCCCAGCGCGGCGCGTCTTATCTTCGACCCGAGCGTCGGTGCCTCTCTACCTTATCTCAAGTGCACGCGCACGACACCAATTAAGTTAATTAGATACATATCTACACTTCATTATAGCAATTCATAGCTATTGGCACTATAGCAATATCACACGCAACATCCAAATATGGCCACAAAGAAAACCGTACCACCGATAAAAATAAAAATACAACGAAATCAATCAAACAGCGATGACCCGTTTCGTTCTCCTCGTACTCCTCCTTCAAAAATAAGAAAAAACAGTTCTTCGGACAACCAGACGAAAATATTCTCGTCACCAAATCGCTATTCTGTGCTCAATGAACCAAGTTCCTTTGATTTCAATAACTCTGAAAACGCCGACATCACTGACAAAATCTCTGATTATACAGTAATTAACAACTGCTCCACAGGCCCTACACCAATGATTTCGTCTGACGAAATTTCAGATAATACCAAAATACCACCGATTTTTATCTTAAATCATAATCTTGATTTCAACCTTCTATGCAAGACTCTCGTTGACATCGTTGGTGAAAATGGATTTCTCTGCAAATCTACTCAAAAAAATGTCAAAGTGCAAGCCAACTCCTCTGACAACTACCGTCAAATTATTAAATTTCTTAATACCCAACCAAATGCTCAATTTCACACCTATCAACTTCAAAGCGAAAAACCCTTCAGAGTTGTAATCAGAAATCTCCACCCCTCCACATCCTGTGATGATATAAAATCCGCATTGGAAAACTTTAATCTATCAGTCCTTCAAGTGGTAAACGTTTTGCAACGACAAACAAAAATAGCTCTTCCCCTGTTCTTCGTAGACCTGGTTAAAGACGATAACTCAAAAACGATTTTCGATATCACTTCAATTCTCCACACCAAGATCAAGGTTGAAGAGCCTCACAAGCGCCGAGACCTTGTCCAGTGTCAAAACTGCCAAGATTATGGACACACACGCTCTTATTGTAACCACTCTCCACGCTGCGTTCGATGTGGCAAAAATCACCATTCATCCTCGTGCGATAAACCAATTGACGTCCCGCCAACCTGCGCGCTGTGTCAAGGAAACCATCCCGCCAACTACCGTGGCTGTCAAATCCATAAGCAACTACAAAAGAATCGCAAGTTCACCTCAACTCCAACCCCCCAAAATGTTCACCCTCTCACACAAGAAATCAGCCCACAGGTGACCTCCTCGTTACCTCACTCAACCAAAACTCAATCTCGTATATCTTACTCCCAAGCCACATCTGGTGCCAAACCAAATCCTTCGACTCCCTCCCCTGATAACTCCACCGATATCAACTCCGCTCTTAGTGCCTTCATATCGGAAATTAAAGCTTTAATAAACCCTCTCCTATCACTGCTTACTACAGTCGTCACTCAATTAATTAAAAATAACAATGATAAATAATCAGACAAATAACTCTCTCCTCATTCTCCTCTGGAATTGTAATGGTATTTTAAACCATACCAACGAACTAATTGCCATATTACACGAAAAAAGAATCGACATAGCCCTTATCGCTGAATCTCACCTAACTGTTAACTCAAGACTAAACATTCCTGGTTATCAAGTTATTACTTCTAACCACCCTGATGGCACAGCGCATGCA